TTGGAGGTAATTTGATTTAGGAGGGTAATTCTATAATTAGCTATCTATGGTTAACTCAAACCCGACCATGGTTATGAAATTTTAACAGATTATCTTACGGAGGTACTACTATCAACGTGTATAGAAGATACAGGGGAGTAATGTCAAAATGCAATGATTTGAAGTACTAATATCAAAATACTAAAGATGTACATGACTAATACCTAAAAAAAATTAACTCTATTAAGATACTCAAAAAGCCAAATCTTAATGACTCAAATGAATGTGAGTCCTGCCTTAAACACAAAAAAAATATCTCTCTCTCTCTCTCTCTCTCTCTCTCTCTCTCTCTCTCTCTCAGTTAGGGGTGCTAAACGTATCCGTATCCGAGGAAATAACCGTAAATCAAGGAACTAAAAAGCCGTTTTTCGTTATTTACCCATAAATCAAGGAAGAAAAATGTAGAAATGGCAGGATTCAGGCAGACAGATTGGCGGTCGACCGCATTCGTGCACGAAACTTACTGGACGTCAGGATTGATGGCGGTCGACCGCAGAAGTTTCTGTTCTGTGGGCGGTCGACTGCCGCGGTCGATCGCAGAAGTCTCTGGACCATTGGGCCTGTTCTGGATTGAGGGCGGTCGACCGCCGAAACGGTTTGGGCTGGGTCTGTTTTCCAGACCCGTTTCGTTTGGGTTTTCTATAAATACCCAAACTCGATTCTGGGGTTTGTAAGGCAAGTGTTTTGAGCTGTTGAAAGGAGTTTTCTTTGGGCTTCTATTCTAGGAGCAATTGGTGAGATCAAGAGTTGATTTGTTGAGAGTTTATGAGAGATTTGTAACCCTAGTTTGTTCCTCTTGATTTCTAATAGTGAAAACTCCCCCCTCCTTGCCCCGTGGACGTAGGCATCTCGCCGAACCACGTAAAATCTGGTGTTGATTGTGTTTGTGCTCTTGTTGGTGTGTTGGTTTATCTCTTTCGGCTATTTGGTTGAATCTCGGCATAGGGGTTTCTACCCAACAATTGGTATCAGAGCTCCGGGCAACGCTTGGGCTTTTTGAAGGTGTAGATCAGTTGAGGAGTTCATCTAGAGCTTCGATTGGTGATAAAGATTGGATCTTTGTGGTAAAGTTTCTATCTTTTTCAAGTTGGATCTATTTCCTATTTGTTCCGCAATAGTTTGGGTGCTTTGAGATATATGGCCGAAAAAGATAAAAGTGGGGAGGGTTCTTCTAGTGTGAAGGCCGTCCAAAGTTTGAATATACATTCTATGAAAATAGATGTGGAAAAGTTCAACGGCACAAATAATTTTGGACTTTAGCGATGTGAAGTCATGGATGCGTTAAATGCGTAAAATTTGAAAGATACGTTGGAGTTGGACGGGAAACCGGACAACATGGATGAAAAGGTTTGGAATAAAATGAATAGAACGGCGTGTGGTGTGATTAGGTCGTGCCTTAACCAAGATCTAAAATATGATGTGATGAATGAAACTTCGGCAAAGAAGATTTGGGAGGTCCTAGAGGGCAAATATTTGACGAAAAGCGTCGAAAATCGTTTGCATTTGAAGAGGAGGTTTTATCGCTTCCAATTGAAGAAGGGGACATCCATTAGTGATCACATGAACCACTACACGAAGCTACTTGCAGATTTAGCGAACGTAGATGTCATTGTTGAAGATGAGGATAAAGCATTGTTGTTATTGAGTTCCTTGCCCGACGAGGAATATGAGACCTTCGTCCTCACTCTTATTAATGGGAAGGCATCTCTTTCGTATAGTGAGATCACCGCAGCTCTTGTGAATTATCAACTTCGAAAGAAGGACAAGGAGACTTCCATCGAGCCGGTTGCTGGTGCATTGGTTGCAAGAGCTAGAAGTCCAAACCATGGTAGGAGGTCGCAGTCTAGAGGGGGGCATCCTGCAGTTGGTAGGAATCCTAGGAGGGATTGGTTCTCCAGCTTTCAGGAGTTGGAAAGAGGGGATGCTGTACTTATGGGTAATGATCACAGATGTCCTATTGGTGGTATTGGTACCGTTCGTATTCGGACTAGTGACGGGATGATTCGGGAGTTGGTTGATGTGAGGTTTGTTCCTCAACTGAGGAAGAACATCATTTCACTTGGGGTATTGGAGGCAGCAGGCTATAGGGTGACCTTGGCGGATTCTCGATTGAAGGTCACATCGGGGTTCATGATTGTGATGAAGGGCGTCAGGAGGAGTAACTTGTATTATCTGCTCGGGAGCACGGTGATTGATAGAGCGCTGACGACTTCTTTGGCTAGACTGTGGTATTGTTTGGTGCTGGGATATATTATCGGTTATGCCGTGCACAGATTGTTGAGGAGTACTATGACCTGTAGATTGAAGTCCTGTGAGCACATTGGGATGAGCGAGGAGACCGAGGTGGAGTTCAGCACTTCTATCCACCGATCGAGGGGTCTTATTGGAGGTGTTCAGTCAGGCATTGGGGGACCTTCCATGTATGCATCATTAGGAGGTAATCGTTATTTTGTTTCCTATGTTGAGGATTGTACTAGGCATATATGGGTTGCAACCAAGTCTCGTTGGTCTGAAGCCCTAGTAGTCCGCAACAGTTGGAGGAGGTGTATGGGCAGAAAGGTTACCCGTCATGCTAGTTCTAGTAGGGGTTCTTTCGTGCATTGGTGTCGAGTTCATGGCAGTTGGAGACACTTCAGAGGGGAGGAGACAGTGGTGCTATAGGGTCCTGTTTTTGCTTATGTATACCAAGTGTAGGATCGTGACCCTTAAGAATAGAGTGCGCTCTTATAAAAATCTGCGGAAGCTTTACACTTAAACACTAGAGTGTGAGTTTGCAAAGTAGATTATAAATTACAAAGAAAGAATGGTAATCTCAGAAAATAAACATCACAAACACAAGCATGTATACTGGTTCCACCTCCCCAGTGTACATCCAATCCCCAAGCAAATCCCGCTTGAGAGTTTCCACTATGATTTTGAAACCTTACAAAACCAAAAGCAAACCTGACCAATTTGCAAGACCATGCAAATTGCAAACCCAATTGACAAGACCATGCCAATCGTCACACCGAGCTCTAGACCAAGAGATCAACCCCTCTCATAAACCGAGAGAACCTTTCTTTAAAGCAATGTACAATTCCAATCCTATAAGCCTTGATATAGATGTGAATGTATAACAGTGGCTTATCAATCTTTTTAACTCTCTGAATATTGCCTAAACAAGCTCTAAGAATGATAGGAACAAAGGCAATATCAGAAACTCTCTTTTATAGAAAAATAGATTGAAAAACTAAAAGTTTAGAGAGTTAATTTGCACAATATATGAATCTTATAAGTGCAAAACTTGATGTTTGTTTTCTGATGATTAAACCTATTTATAGCCTCTGAAATGACATAATTTTAAATCCAATTAACGTCCACAAAACGGCTATAAACAGTCACTTATTTAAAACCTAAAATTTAAAAAAACTACATCTGTAGTCGACTACAAGTCATAGTAGTCGACTACACTGAGTCTAAACAGACTGTGAAGTCAGAAAATTGCTTAG